ACATCTAAAACTATCCCGATCATTGTACAACTGTACTCTATTTTAGAAATCAATCTTTTGGAATTCCAAATTTATAAGTAAGAAAAAATAACAATTTTCAAGTCCCATGACCATCAAGACACATCCTTGAAAGGTTTTGCATTTTAATATTTTGTTTGGTTATTTCAGTATACTTAACGTACACACAACCAACTCTCTTTCTAATTAATTTGACCATCCTTAAATTTAATACCTTTTCTTTTTTTGACCTAATGTTTTACTGATCATATCACAATAAATATTCTAAAATTAAAAGTCTAGGGTTTTGTCATTAGAATTTCGTAAGTTTAAAAGAAAACTTCCTATTTGTTAGTTTCATGTTTTTTTTTTCCTATAAAATTTTTATGATCTTAATTATATATACAACTAAAGAGAAGATGAAAACCTTAGTTTGATTGCAATGTCGTCTGACATATCCCTTTCCATTATTTTTTAAGTTAGTTTCTCAAACTAAATTGGTATTCTTAATTTTTATCTATAAATAATTGTCTATTAACTATTCACTAAGAAAATAAAAGAAATGGACAAAAAGAAAAGTATTGTCATTATGCATTTTACTATTCATCGAGATTAAGAATGCTGTGTACATAAACCCAGTTTTATTGTGCATTTTCAATGTGCAGTGGCATTCTTTGTAATTTTTTAGACACTTTATATGCATGTTTAGCCTAATATTGTACTTTGGTCCTTGATTCTTAAATAATTTTTGTTCATACCAAACTTTATTTGTATCACGGTTTAATCCCCGATTGTGGAGAGAAGAGAGAAACAATGGTAGGAGAGAGAAAGTTACAACAAGACTCATTCCGGTCACTTTGACTCTCAATCTTGCCTTTCACTTGTTCTCTTGAAAAAAAAAAAAAGTTGGTTTATAATGGTCACAAATCATGAAATAGTTGGAGAAAGTAAATCGGAACTTCAAAATATTTTACATTTTTTAAGCTTGGTTTGGAATATTTGTGTGGTTTGTGTGCATTAAAATATGTTTTAAGTTTCTAGGCAAGTTTATTGACTTATTTATGTGATTTTAAAGCTTTTTTGGACAAAAACAATACCGAATTTGGCTTTGAACTAAGAAGCCAGAAATTGGAAATTTGTTTTTCCAACAAATTTTATAGCAAATTTCGTAGAAAATTGCAGATGAACGACACACTTTTTGTTGTGCAAGAAGCAGATGCCATATCACCCTGTTTTGTTTCTTTGTATAAATATCTATAAGCTAGTAAGGATGGCAATTTGCTCCGTTCCAACGGAGCCCCACCTCGCCCGCGTCAATTTTCTTCGATCAACACAGGGATTCCCCACATTGACCGGGGAATGGGGCGAGGTGGGGATGAGTTTGCCCGCCCAATCCCGTTTGCCCTATTTGCCCCATTTCTTTTTTTTTTTAATTAAAATTATAATTATACCCCATATAAAATCTATAATTAGTGACTTTTAGGGTTTATTTTCTATATAAATTATCATTTTTTTGCTATAATTTAAAATTTGGTAGTAGAATTGAATAAAATGAGACGAAAATAAAAAATAAATTCCCTCGTTTATGTCCCGTTTGCCCTCGTGGGATCCCCATCCCCGTTTGGGGCGGGGATGGTATGGGAAATTTTACTCCGTTCGGAGCACGAGGCGGGGACGAAAAAAAAATTTTTAAGGGTGGGGCGGGGATGGGGCCCTACCCCATTGCCATCCCTATAAGCTAGCATGCATGAGCCCGGTTCTCTAGGCCAAAAACACATAGGCCCGAGCCCCGACTCGGCTTTTTTTTTTTTTCAGTAATTTATTTTATTTTTTATTATGTATTTTTTTTATGAAGATTATACAAGACGAATCGTTATTTTTTGGATTTTACACATAGCCTAACGAGAAAAAAATATGATATATTTTAAAATAAATATATATTTAAGATTATATTATTCTTATTAATTAAAATTTATTCATTTAACTTGTCATTTCTTATGGAGACTTCCATCTAATTTATTTTTTATTTTTTATTTTTTATTTTGAATAAATTTGATTTATTGTTCTCTATGATGGATTTTTGAACAAAATTTTAGAATATGATTTTTTTTTTTTTGAAAAAGAAAATTGATATAATTTATATGATGGATTGTTATAATTTTTAAATGATATATATATATATATATATATATATATATATATATATATATATATATATATATATATATATATATATTAAAAGTCTTTTTCGGATAACTTGTCTCAAATTTTTAGAAAAAAATAATTTATAAAATAAGTTTTTAGTTAAGAATCCATGGATTTTATTTTTTATTTTTAGATTATTACAAGTTTTTAATTAAAAAATCCGGATAAAGACGAATAAGACTTTTTTTAGTAGAAAATTTATGAAAAACACAAGAAATAATTCATCAAGTGCAAAATTTTGAAAAAATAAATCATAAAATTAAATATATTTTTTTTACTTTTAATTTAATATATTTTAGTGGATTTAGGGTATAGTATCGACCATCAAAATAAAATAATTTTTTAAAATAATTTTGTATATTTTGCCCAACCTACCGGGTAATAATGATAAAAAATTAGTAAAATACTAATTTATCTTGATAAGGTAAAATAATAATAATAAAGAGAGAAAGTTGTTACCATTTGAAAGAAGACAAACATAAATGAAGTTTTCTTTTTTGGTAGAAAAATAAATGAATAGTATTTGTATGGATAAGGTATGCATTAGTCAAATGAATTTTATACTACACCTGAGAGGTAAATCAATAATTTACTGTTGTTTTTTCTATTTTATCTGTAAGTTGCTTTCTTCTCGATTGCACGGGTAGATCAAAGGCCTGTTTAACATTCCTCCATTGCGTTGTATTGTTTGATGTTGTGTTATTGAATAAAAACAGTGTTTAATAACTGATCATTGTGTTGTGCTTATAATTATTTAAAGTAATCAAATAGTATTTGGTTAAATTATATTGTTGTATTTTTGAGATATAAAATGATCAATAAAAACTATAATATACTAAATATATTTTCACAATTATATTTCATTGATATTAAATAATTTAACTTTTTATGTGAGTAATTTTTAGGTTCAAAAAATAAAACAAAAAAGGGTCAAATAGAGTGATAATATATACATGTACATTGTTTCAGTAAAATCAATGATATAAAAAAATATTTTGAAAAATAATTATTTAAAACACTAGTATCTTTACAATGTGTAATTTAAATAAAAAATAAAAGAACAATTGTCATTTTGATTTTTTTTTAAAAAAAAAAATGGATCCCACAATAAACCGTTAAAAATGAGAGATACCTTATTTTGTTTCAAAAACAAAACAATTTTCTTTTTTCTTTTTTCTTTTTTCTTTTTAGTTTCGAAACAAAACAGAAATTAATAAAAAACAATTTTTACTTTAAAAACACGTCAAAACCAAACAGACACTTATTCTTATTTTATTGCGTTAAAATAGTGAATATAAAAGACCTTTGGATTGGCTATTTATATACGCATACCTCATTTTCTAATTATTTAATTTTAATTTCAATTAAGCTAAGCATATTTAATTGAAAGTAGCTGAGACTGGCAGTCAGCTTCTCTCAGTCTGAATGCATTATAAATGGAGCTTTACCCACCTTGCTTTTCATCACAACATATAATATAGTAGTACGATATTATAATTGAGAGGAAATTATAATTTAGTTCTTATATTTTTTATGATTTTTCAATTTAATCCTTTTAGTTTAAAAATCATAAGTTAATCCCATGATCAAAGTTCAATGTTAATATTTGATTTTATTATCCTTTCTAAATGCATTTCTAATTAATTTTGTCATGGCAGGAGAGATTGGAATTTTTTTATTAGAAATGAAGGATACTTAGAAACAAAAATTAAATTGTCATGAAAGTAGAAGGACTGAGTTATCAACAAATATGAAAACATAAAGATTTAATATTGGGTTTGGACTAACTTATTATTTCACTGAAAACATAGGGATCAATTAATAATTTGTTCTAAGATTAGCTGGTAAGAAGCTCTCAAGTCTCCACACATCCACATGCCAAATTCCTACCAGTACAAGTAACTTGAAAATTAATGAAGCCGCCAATACAAAGTCACCACACCACATATTCTAGTGAGTTTCAAAATATATATGGACCATGACAGCAGAAGATTAGTAGTAAATATTTACTGACACGACGATAATGCGACTACATGTTTTTTCTTTTTTCTTTTTTCCTTTTTAAATTTTGACCTAGCTCTAGTCAAATACAGACTGCATTAATAATAAAGATAAGAGCAGGTTGAATTTGAAGCCAGCTTATTTTCCTTATCTCCCTCTCTTCCAAATTCGAACCTCAATTTCAGTACGCAATTTTCAGTTGATCCAAAGCCATCTTATGAGTCAGTATCCACTGGGGAAACTTCATAGAAGCACCACCATGGCATGATCCACATACACAACAATTAGTCAGCCCGAAAGACAGGTCTGTGATTTTAAAGTCTATCTTTCCTCTGTTTTATTGCCAACGAGAAGCAGTGACCGAGCAACATAATTCATGGAGAAACTTTGATATGTTCCGGTGGTTTGCTTTGATTTTTAAGGTTGAGGAAGATTGGTTGGCCTCTGAACCGTTAATGATATATGCGCTTGATAGAAACCAGTCTGTATTAAGATAAGATGGTGCAGATTGATAGAGCCATGCAGTCATAAAGTGTATATATAGTAATGCAAGACCATCCATCGATGGAAAAACAACCACAAAAAATACATTATAAAGTTTCAATATCCATTACATCAGAGAAATTTATTTTCAGTCATTTACAATTTTCTCTTCCCAATAAAATAAATAAAAAATAAAAAATTATGTGTAGTAATTATTATACAAAACTGTACAGATTTCAGATTCATAGAATCACAAAAATCAAAGAATGGAAGAGGCCACAATGATACGAGTGTTTCAGGAGCTGTGATTTGGTCTACCATCGCTGATCCTTCCAAACAACTTCAACAGGTACAAAGAAACCCTGAGCTTCAAGTTCCAAAGTTTCTGAATCCAGGGAATCAAATCAACTATGTAGGAGAGGTTCAACTTTGAACAGTAGCCACACCAAACCGAACCGTAAGACGTGGGAAAGCAGTATCACGAGGCAAATCGTTGCCGGCGTAGTGCATTTCGTTGAATAGTGGACAACTCGGTCCGCCCATGCCGGGAATGTTGGTGCATCCTGAGCCCTCAGAAGGGGGGACAGGACCCCTCTGGAGAGACTGCAATGAAAGGTCCTTATTCAACTCTTCAGGTAACATCCTACTAGCATTGTATAGCTGAACATGTAAAGAAAGCAGAAAAAGTACTGCCACAACAATGTTTTGGATGCTCATGATTTCTGGATGACAATTTCAAAACAACTACGAAGCATATCTTGGAGTGGTGATGAGGAGTATTTATACTTATAAATGTCGAAGGCTCAGGTAATATTTTATTTGTGGACAGATTTTGACTGTTGACCACTAGTTTTTTAAGTAAATAAAAGACTTTTCAGAAATTGAACAGGTCCTATACAAGAAAAGGAGGTTTTCTTGAACTTGAATACCAAGTTTTTTAGGTTTTCCCCCTGCCTACATGCATAAATATTTGTTTTCTTTTGCTGTAATTAGATTTGTTCGTGTCAAATCTGAGTTATGACCCGTAAGGGGAGGGTTGAGAGGAAATTTCTTGGAACTGCAGCTGCTTTGAACTTGAATACCTGATGCTTAATAACAAAGTGCTTGTTTTCTGTCAGTGCTGACATACAATGGTTTGAAATAAGAAATGTTATATGAAATTTTCATTTGAGTCATCCAATTAGAGTTCTTTTCTTTATTATCCTAGTGGATCAAGTACTCTTTACAAAGCACTTGTTGGCCCCTCATGCATAGTCGATCACAACCATTATAAAACATGTGTTTTTTCAGCCGTTTTGTCCATCCCTTCCATGCTATGGAGAGATTCCACATTGATGATTGCAGGAAAACGTCACCGAATCAATCTGTGACCGCAAAACTTTAATACTGCACCCCCTCTAAAGAAACCCAAACTCGGATCTCTTTAATCATCAGATGCGACTTAAATCAAGATTGTGGTTTAGACGAGACTTGATCCGCTGACGTGGTTTCTCGTTGGATGATAGATATTTTTCATATTTTAGCCTCTCACGTTGTGTTATATTCCATCAGATGCGCTCATTTCAACCATTAATCAAACCCAGAAAATACCTCAAAGCCTCATTATAACAACTAAAAAGCTGGAGGCAGAGAAGGGAGAAACACTCTTTACAAAATGTTTTCTTATGAAAAGATTACAACCTCACTCCAATTCTAAGACCCAATACATTATTACAACGGGCAATCACCCACCAACTTGCAGGCAAGCTCCGTTTCCAAGATTCCTTCAATGTCCATTTGAAGGCCGAAATACAGTATAGCCATTGACACCGCATGCCATATTTGAATACACTGGATTAAAATACGGAGGACTATCGCCATCAGCATTCCTCATGCCCATCAAGGAAATATCAGAACCAGCCATCTGCCACTGGTTTGGAATCAACCCATCAACATGCCCATTTGCATAAGGCAGCGGGTTACCTTGTGGAATAAATTCCCTTAGTGTGTCAAAATGGGTTCCAGAAGAGCTATAGCTCCGCTGAAATCCACCATCATGGTAACTCCTGGTACGCTCAAACCTGCAGGAGCTGCTGGTTGAGGAACCCAAATCACTTGATATAGCCATGTCGTTTGGAAAAGAGAACTGCCGATTTAATAGGTGTGGCCCATTGCTACGGAAGACTCTGCTTGCCTCAGCTGTCTTCCCCACAGCATGTTCCTCATCAAGCAAATCATTGATGATATCAAGATGTGGGAACTCATCTATCACCCCACCTTGAGTCTGACGCCCAGATGTACAGGCTGGGAACTCACTGGAGTAGTGCTCCTGTGATCCACTTCGTACAGGATTGTACAAGTCAATGTTTTGTATGCCATTTACCAGGGAAGAAGGGTCACCACTCATGCTTCGACTAGCATCCCTTTGAGAGCTCTCCATCCATTGGCGTCCATTCTGTAAGACATCTCGAGTTACCATGCCGAAAGGAAAGCCAGATTGGAGAGAGTTTGGGTCTACCCTTTCAGAGTTCAAGGGTGATAAAAACATCGGTGCAGATACCAAAGTAGATGGCTGCACATGCACTGGTGATAGGTTCACTCCTGTACTTGAAGAGTTGGTATGAGTGAAACCAGATGAACTGGAACCAACAGCGTTACCAATTATGGCATTTCGATAGGACTGAGGAACATAACTATGAGCAGCTGGTGAAGGGTCAGGACCCAGCCGACCAGCTGCACTCACTGAACGAGCAAGTAAAGGAGTTGTTTGGACCAGGGAAACAGGAGCAGTAGTTGGCCGGGGACCAGGCACCAGAGGAGCACTGGAGGGCCTTGACATGGCAGATACTTGTTGTAGAGTTGGTTTCTCAGACTGTTTTGCAGTTGACACATTCTGGGTCTCAGGTTTGGGAATACCACCATTTTGGGGGAGGTAGCTGAAGTTGCAGCTTTATCAGCCTGCTGTGAGCAATTTGAAGATGTTTTCTTAACTTGAGCAAGATCCATGGTAGCTGAACTCTTGCTGTCTGACTTCAGTTGAACAGTGGATGGGACACATTTAGGAGAACTTGTCGGAGGGCTTCTGGGAGAAGATGGTACAGCTGCTGTCTTTTCTTTAGGTCTTTCCACCTCAACCAGGTCTTTGTTACTCGTCTGCTTTGGCATAGAAACAACTTCATCTTCCTATTTCAGAGAAAAGCGATGCTCATCAAGGCATATTCAAGTATAGAATACTTGTATCCGCAGAAATAAAGCAGCATTTAGAAATAGAAAAGCAAAAGATTTAAGAGATTCAACTCGAATTGAGAGAAACAGGAGGCATAAAAAGTCGCCTTTGAACAGGAGGCATGGTGGCCAAACCTTCAAAAGTCGCCTTTGAACTTGTTGGAATAAAAAGTGAGAAGGGAAAGGAAGAAAAGAACAGTTTCATAGGAAAGACAGCGAAACACTCCTTTGCATTGATTAATTCCTAAAATATTCTATGCACTTAGTAAAAAACCAATTCCTCTTCCCCATAGAGGGAAGAGACAAACCAGAGTTAAACAAACACAAGGACAGCAAAATAATAAGAAGATGAAAATGAAGCAAAAACAATCTAAAAACACTTGTGCTGCAGGAACAAGGATGCTAAATAAGACACCAGAGAAGAGCCATTGTGCACAAGAAGCTGACACAACCAAAACAAGCAGTCAATCACGCCATTAGGCATAAAAAAAGATAAGGCTACAAAGATTTTCAGCCCGCCAAAATAGGATTTGAACATTTGATGCTTATTATACAGTTCTACCTTACTTGATAGTTTAAAAATTATTGAAAGAGCAGAAATTTGAGATTGTAGCAAAAGATTAGCAACTTCACCTTCACTGTCTTGATTACATGCTGTTCAAGCCTCATCATCCTATCCTGCAAATCATGAACAACAGCCTCAAGCTCGCAATCAGCAGCCTTGCTACTTCTTGTGACATCACTAAGATCACCAGTATCTGATGCAGGCTCAGAAGCCTGATTATCCATTTCACTTGTCCAGCTCCCATCACGTGCCATCTTACCTCGCTGGTTCTTCCCTCTGCAGATATGAAATGCAAAATGAATGCCATGTAATCTAATCCTGCAGTGAAAAAGGATGTTAAGGCCACATGTTTACCATTTTACCTGCTAGGCGATTTTTCAAATTGATAGTTCGAGTAAGAATTTCCCTTATAGGGGCCATTCGTTACTACTGAAGGGACTGAATCTGTTGAGCATGTTGAGGAACTATCATCCATTGCATACGTATTCCTTTTTTCAGTTGTCCCATTTGGCACAGATGACAAGCCAGTAACTCCACTGCTACTGGCTTCGGTGGGAGGATGAACTTCTGAGGTGTCAGTATCCCAACTGACTGGACTTGCATCTCTGTCTTCTGAATCAGGCTGGAGCACTTCGGCAACACCATCCACTGAATCAGACACATCAGAGACATCTTCCAGAGCCTCAGCCTTTTCCACCACAGGATGCACCTCCGCAACAAACTCCTTCTTCTCATCACTAAGACTTGACTCTGACTCTTGGTGTTTGTCTACCAAAGCGACACCAGGCCTATCCTCTCTCCCTTTATCCTTCCCTTTGCGATTGTTCCGTTTTTGTTTAGCCTGTATTTATAAGAAGCAACAGCATTCAAACAAATCAAACCTTGAAAAGGTTGGTTTGGGGTTTTCTTAATTGGGGGGTTGGGTGTAGGGGCTAGGACTTAATAAGTTTTTTTGCCCCCATAAAATAAATTTTGGCTATACATCATGTGTTTTAGTTAAGTTAGCATAAACTGATTGCATTACTCCACACAAAAAAAAAAAAAAAAAAAAAAAAAAAAAAAAAACTAGAAAGAATTCCAAAGGGCTTCAACAAGAGAATTTTGAAACCAAAGTTTCAGAATCCCAATTATATGGTGATAAATGTAATTTCCTTCAGTAATCTGGCACCAGCTGAATTCAATACGGGAGTTAAGACTACACTTTACTCAATTCTTATGAAGAAAGAAAATAAAATAAAATAAGCCACCTGTTTTTTCTTTAATTTCTTTTCCTTCTCAGTCGCTCCACGTTTAGCCTTCTGCTCACTTTTCTGCAAGCCATGCGGCCTCTTCTTCACGAATTAGCTCTTCTTGCCTCTTTAAAGCAACAGCTTCCTGGTAGGAAACTTCAATTTTATGGCTACATGCGAAAGAGACAAAAAATCAGGGCACACATGGATAAAAATGAAAAATACTTGTCATGCCAAAAAGAATCAGAAAATTGCAATGCCAAGATGAGCAATACTTGTTATGCCAACATATCGTTATTAGTGTTTACTAATTGGTATTTAAATTCTTCATTTATTAATATTTGCAATGTATTTTCTACTTCAGTATTGAGCAGATGATAAAATAACATAATGCAAGAACAGGCTCCAAGTAAAAATAAAATAACTACAAAAACACTAAGATATTAGCAAAGATGCTGGGGCTCTCACTAGACCAATTCCAGAAGGTTATCCTGATAGAAAAATGACTTCCAAAAATAGTGGAAGACTCAAAAAAATTGATTAGGTGAAAGAAAAGGTGCATGTAGCCGAAATATGGTTCTAGTGAAGTCTGAAATGGAAGCAGTCCCAGTAGCATGAAGAAACTAACGATCGTTTTTTTGTTTTTTTTTAAAAAAGAAGTAAAAGTATCAGTATATTACTTAAAAATATGAGCAAGGACAAATATTTCCACCGTCCTACGACCCAATTCTGTTAGACGCCTTTCATCACGCTCAATGGAATCCTTGTTGAAGTCCTCTCCAGAACTTCCATCCTGCGTTCAAATGAAAAAATAAAAAATAAAAAAATTGAGATATCAGAAGCTTAATTAGTCACAATCATGAAGCATACAGGTTTAATAAAGGTATTGACAACCATCAAGGAAGGAAAAACAGATAGCATTTCATGTTCTTCTATATATAATCCAGTGTACATAATAAAATCTACAATTATATGATATCACCACCACCCCATCACCATCAACATACAGCCACTTCCATCATTGTCCCCTCCCTAATGTTGTCACCACCACTCTGACACCATCAGATGTAGCAACCATTGTATACCTTAATGTTTTCTTTTTATTCTTTACATGTGCTATTCCAGCAAACCAAATGTTGCCAGAGAGATGCGAGCTAATTAATGGAAGAAAATTATTTACTAGAGCATCACAAATAAAACTAGCAAAAGATGCATACGATTTTCTAAACTATGGTTGAAGCTTAAACCCAATAAGCTATACCCAATGCCACCAATAAAGATTCCCTAAGATACCAAACACATGAACCAATTTGTGAAATAGCAAAATTTACCATTCAAGAATTTAAGTGCATCAAAGAGACCTTAAGAATAATGACAATACAAACCATCACTCATTTAAAAACAAACTACTAAAATGAATCAACTGCTCAAAATTGCCACAGTAATTTTCCATACTGAGAACTATATGCATAGCAGGATTGAGAAAAGATTCAAACATTAAAAAATGGTATCCAACAACCCAACCCACTTTTGTACGATTCTGAGGGCCCTTCTCATCTTTTGGAGGCAACGGTTCCATGGCAGCCCTCTCAAGTAGTAGCAGCACATCATCCACCAACACAAACATATCTTTTTCAACACAAACAATTGGAGCTGGCATTTCTTCAGCATCTAATAATTTTGCTCTCCCTTTCCGGCTCTTAGTTTGGCCTTCAAGAGCCTTCAATCCGCTATACAAGGAATCCATTACCAATGTAGATGTGACTTCCTTCTCTATAAAGAAATGCTTTACGACTACTTTCAGAATTACATCTGTTTTCTCCCTAGACATGCGGCGCCGGGCATGTTGATCCATTCCCAACCAAAAGGCACAAAAGCTGCAACGGTTTCAAATACTCTGTTATAACCACATTAAAAATATACTGACCGGAATCACAAGTAAAATAAGCTATAATTGCCACCAAAAGGACAGCAGAAAATGAAAAACTGTTAATGAAGGCCATAAATCAGTAACATTTTGCAGTCTCATAGGACTACCAAAACACCAAGGTTTTCATAATATAGCATGTGGAGAAGTTAAAACTATTATCAACCATTCTATTCTAATACATCAAGTAACAAGCCTTTTCAAAGATAAAGTTACACTACCTTGACCACTTATTTTTGTCCTCTATTAATTTCCCGAGTTTGCCCCGTCTCTCTTCCACAAAACGCCGACAAATCTGCTCTACATTTGTCAAATATACCCTAACAAGTTCTCTCCTATACTGGCAATCGAGGCAACGAAAAGGCCGATCTGCTTTCTCCCTACAGATGAAAAGCAAAGTCTCAGAATGGCTGATCAACAATGAGAAACACCTTGAGCATTCTCATGCAGAAAAATTAATACAACAGTTCCACTCAATCAACAGAGGAACAATACAACACTCAAGTCACAACTCTTAATGACAGAACTTCAAATTTGGTAAATGCAGTCTCCATTATCAATGTTCATTTGCAAAGTCCCTGGACCACAACTCATGGTGATAGCCTTGTGAAAATTTTGACATGACATTATTGTAACAACAATAATACCATAAAACTAGTTTTTTTTTTTTTTTTAATTGAGTGAAACTCACTCCTTTAATGCCAAAGCTATGTTGAAAACTTTTTACAATCCCATTTTCCACACAAGATATCTCAATTACATGCTCCATGAAGCCAGCATTGACAAGAATATAATTATAATTCATTATAGGAAACATGGTATGCAAAAAGAATAACTAAAAACTAAAAGATACAAAAAGTGTAACTTCATTATTGAGCCAACTTCAGATTGGATGAGAAATTGACATAAAAGAGCCATAACTACTCTTAAAATTTCTAAATTTAGTTTCTCGAACACGACTGCACGAAAATGTTAAAAATTGGCATGGATAAGCAAGAAAAAGCATGCCAGACAATTATGCTGCCATAAAAAAAAAAACAAAAAAAAAAACAAAAAATTACTTTAAGAATTTAAGACCGTAAGGTTATGTAATAGATTAGCATCAATAGAATGAAGAAGCAATATGCAGCACAGACACTAATAGACATCAAATAAATATAAACCATTAACTTATCAGACACCTGATGACTTGTACTTGAGCCTTTATAATAAGAGTGTCAGCTGCATCTAAAAACCCATCTGACACTTTTGATAATTCCATAAATTTCTTCCATCCCCAGTCATGCTCTTTCTTCCAGAACCGATGTAATGTATCTGCAAAGTTTGCTTTTAGTTAATAGTAAATCCATGATTCCATTACTGACTTCAGCCAATATTTAATCAACTAACCAGAATATTTTGATTTTTTTGGATCTTTATTCACCACAGCAATCGTAAACTGTGCAAAATGACTCCAACCTGGTTCACAAATACAATAAACTTACACAATTACAACCACAAAAGAAAAGAAAAGAAAAAAAAGCACAAAGAACAATAACTATAACCTCAATTCCAAGTCAGTAGCACCAAACCTGGAAGAAGTTTGTCATGGTTGGCAACACAGAGAAATAACGAAAGATGATTGCAGACATCACAACCTTGGGGATATATTAAAATGTACCTGTCACCAGAAGCAAAGAATTAAATCAATAATAACACAGAAACTTTGCATGTTGCACTGATTTTCTGCAGGTCAGTAGCATCAATGCAACAAAACTTAAGAAAACCTGTATAATTGGGATATCAACATAAGCATCAAATTCATGCTCCATAATGTGAAATTTGGCCTCTTTAAAATGAGAAAATGAATTATGAATCAGGCAATATGAAACATTTTACTTGTTCTTTATTAAAGTGCATGATTTATTTTACCTGTTCTTTATGAAAAGGACAAGAACAACAAGAAGAAGATGAAAAACATCCATCAGCAACATTCAAGACATCAACAATTGGCTACACCAAACATATGGTAAACCAATAAACTCTTTTCATTCACTTTATTGCAAGACTTATAGCAGAAGTGTGAAGAAAAATATTGCATTTACCTCTAGATAATAAGTCTTACCAAATAACTAACTCGGTTACGTGCAATCGAACATGTAAGTCATCTCATGGACATCTCTCTCTATCATAAGCACGGGCTAATTATATAACAGATTTAATATTAGCAGCAAATAACAGGTGAAGGTTTGTGTATAGAGAAAAGATCCGTATCATGTCGTTATACAATCGATTTTAATTAGGTGCATGTAATGCACCCATATAATGCTGCATCACATATTATAGACTTTTAAAAGTGTGAATTAATGAAGCCTGTGAATTGAAGGAAAAAAAATCACAATCATTTCCTCCGTAATGGAACCCTATTCTAATTGAAGATAGATAAATAAAGAATGGGACCAATGTCTGATCCCACAACTCACATATAATGGTTTCATTTTTCCATCCAGAGGAAAGCAAAATGTTTTTGGTTCTTGAAAGGCACAATTTAAGCAAGCTCTTGCTTCCAAAATGATACTGTACGCACATTGTTTTTTATTCATAGTGGGTTAGTGTATGCAAGCAGAAAAGTTAGAAAAATACATTTGTACTAGTATGATATGGGGATAAAGTACAAACTAAAAAAATACGTATATTGTTGACACATTTTCTGCATGACTTGAACACATGTATGCATATAATGTATATAGATAAAGCAAAAAAAAATGACAAAGGAGGACAGAGCCAAAAAAAAAAAAATGTAGAACATATGAAAGAACAGTATGCTAAGCCCCATACCATTTGTAGCCACCAACTTCAAATGCATTGCTTCGAAGTTCTCTTTTATTAATCTGTGAAAATTTCTCTATCTTCCACGTGTATTTTCCATATAACTCAGAAGGTTTTGGCCCTATAACAGAACAAAATCAGTTAGCAAAGGGTTGCCGACATAACAGCTTGTGTGAGAGCGATAAGAAACTGAAGGAGTAATCACAAAATCTAAGAGGAAGAGTTAGGAATGATCTGCTACAGAAGTGGAAACTGATATTAATAAGCTAACATCTATTTAATCATGTTTTCTAGCAGCCATTTATAGTGAGTTTTGTCAATTTCACACATACCACCGAGTAAAAAGATAGAACAAACCAATCTGATCCTTGAAGCACTAAATGCTACCATATCCAATTGCAACCATATATATTAACAAAAAAACCCTTACTGTTGCCCTTCTATCCACAAAGTGTGCCGGCAATTAATTGCTAGATGAAAAACTCAAAAACCAGCAAGAAGTCAAAAAAAAAAAAAAAAAAAAAAACATTTTAGTTAGTGAATGGCCTCCTCGGAACCATTGTGTCATGATGCAAAGAGTGGGAGGGAAGGGATTTCATGATAGGCTTGGACAAGAGAAATTCTTCACCAACTCTTTTTATGTTATACTGAGAATATAATTAGAACATTAGGGCTGATCTTTGATCATCTTGGTGTCAAGCTATATTTTGCAAGACCTCCGTACCATAAGTCCAGTGTATTAGAGTTCAACCACCAAATGTAGAAGAACAGAACCAGTCCATTTTTCCCAAATATTTCCAACAGCTTTACACTCTAGCTTCCAAACTCAGAGAAGAATTTCCAAGAGCATTATTGTGCTCACTGACAAAAAGAATATACATACTGAAACCAAAAACCAAGGAGCACGAGAAAGAAAATACAAATGCAATAAATTCTATGGAGAACCAACGCATACCTCCATCATCGTCATCATCAGTGTCCCAATAAGGCGGCGAAGTTGATGGGGTTCCATTTTCCACCTGCTCAGAAGATCGCCATTCTGCCAAAGCTTCACCTGACTGGCAACGCTGCCCACTTGAAATCCCCTCTGTAGACTTTCCAGCTCCAGCTTCCTCACTCACAATCCCAGCCATTTCCCACTCCAAAACTCCTTCCCCCCAATCCTTCAACTCCCCTCACTACCTAACAAGTAAACAAATAAGAAGAAAAAAAAACCAGTAATGTAGCCCCCAAACATACAATTTTTATGCCAACAAATAAAACAAGCATAAAAACATCAATTCAGTTCAAATAAATACAAACATTACAAACAAAGACTAGTCATTAGTAGATACCTAAAAAAATCAACCAAAATATATACAAAACAAATTTCTTTGATATTGTAAAGAGTAGAAATTTGGGGAAAAAAGCATATTAAGGTTGCTGACAACTCTTAAGAAACAGAAAACAACATGAACTTTGAATGTTGAATTTTGCATCAATTGGGGCCCCATAAAACACAACCCTCCACTCAATCAATATCTGTTTGACTTAATTTTCACAATCCCCAAACACCATCTCATCTCAAAAAGATTATTTAGTTCAGTATTGTATATTTTTAAATTTACATACACCAAGAAAAACATATATAGCAAGTTAAGACTTCGTTTTGTTTTTTAATTCAATCCCTCAATTATTTGGAAATCAAATAAACACAATATTTATAATCCTCAAATTCAAAAACCCATCATCAAAAAATCGCAATCAACAATAAACCCTTATCTATTTCAATAAAGATCAATTAACTGAAGCTCAATAATAATCGAAAAGTATATAAAAAAAAAATCAAAACCCAGATAAATAAAACTAAAAACCATCTCTCAAAACCCAATTTGCATGAAACACACGCAAATTAATAGAGTTTGGAATCTGAGACCGGAGAACAAAGATCGAATACAAGATTCCCAAATAAATCGCGATCACAAAAAGGCTGAAAACCCCGATTAAATAGAGCTAATTGGAAACGACAACGTGTAGATCGATATAGATACAAACCTGAGCTTTGAGAAATGGAATTATAGGCAAAGGTATATGAGATTCTAGAGAGATAAAGAGAGAGAGAGAGAGAGGGGTTCAAAGGAGCAGCAAAAGAAAGAAGGAAGAAACGAAAGGCGGAGCCCGAAAAAGAAAATTTGTAATTTTTTTATGTTACTAATACCACTATTATTATTAATTTTTGTTTTTATTTTTTAATATTTTTATAACTAACTCGTTTAGTTGTTTTTTATTTTTATTTGCGTAGACTGTATACTGTAGTGTGAGCTGTGAGGAGGTTTTTGGTGTTGGTTTTTGCGTGCCCTTTCTTTTTTCTTTTTTTTTTCTGTCTCTCTCTTGAAAAAACAAATAACAAATTTAAAAAGAGCAGTCAAATTGGATAAATATAGAGAAGAAAATAAGGAAATGAAATAATGGAAGAAGAGGGTGTCGTTTGGGGGTAAAAACTAAAAAGGTCGGCCGATGATGTGGGAGACCAGCGCAAGAGGGCATGGACATGGTGGCTCTTTTTTCGGTTCGCCTGACTAACTTTTATGTAACTATAGATTTTTTTTTTGAAGTGATAAATTAATATTTTTAGAATTCTATGATTGGTTATACAGTTTTGGGGTCCACTTTCGTAGAATGGGAGAAGGTTTATTTATTTATTATTATTATTTTTTTTTTTTGGTGTTTGGGGGTTTAGTTTTTCTTTAGGGTTTGTGTTATGGTGGTGGTGCTGAGCGGTGGACTGTAGGGTGCTGTGGAGAAAGGGATGTTTTGGGCTTTGGATTAGCAAAGCTTTATAGGATAATGGGTTGAACTTGGTGATGTTGGGTTTGATATGGCCGCTGTAGTTTGGGCTCAGCCCATTTGTAGTTGTGACTTTGTGCGATATGATGATAGTCTATCTATTAGGAAGATTTTTTATTTTTATTTTTTATATTTTTTAGAAAGGTATTGAATATCAAACATAAAAGTTTTTATTAAATGGGTAACGCGACCTCAGTGATGCGCGGGCTATAAGTTCAGATCAAATGGTAGTCAGTTGATAAAGTCAATATCTCAAATCTAAAATGTACTTTTTGCAATTGAGTATTTTGGATTAAATATTGATATTAAATTCTTGTTTTCTAAGTTAGGTTTGCGTGTTTAGATTGATATCTCTATTTCTTAATCAATGCTAACTCATATCTACATTTTAATGGATTTCAAAAACTAAACCTTTTGAATCTAGTAATAGTTCATACATTTTTAATGTCATATAACAAAGAAAAAAGAGTTTTTTTATAGATGAATATCGATCCTCAGACTTAATAAATTAAAAATAGTGTTTTTGCCGCTTCAACTTTTGCTATCTTTTTTTAATATTTTACCCATGATGTGCATTAGAACAAGTTTGATATTTTAAAGTTAGATTGCACATAGGACATAATCAACAACAGGCTTGCAACAAGTAACATATATGTATCTCCCACTCTTGATGCAATTGATGAACCTCATTAGCCATTCACGCCATTAGCCTTCCTATGTTTATATTAGTCATGGCATTGAAATACCGAGCCGGCCCGTAGGTTAACCAGAAAGACCAAAATCATGTACAATGTTATTGTCCATAAAATGACAATTTCAAAGATAGTCATTTCAAATACGCTAAGTAATTAATCGCTTGTCATGTCCACTCACTACTATATGCTAATCCTACTATCAAATGCTTTGGAACTATTTTCTCTTCTTTAACGAACATTTCTTTGTACTTCGTTGCTTTCTCCCAGCATACGAATGGAAGCTGAAAGGAATTGGATTCTTCGTTTCAACTTTTTCACACGAGAATCCAAAGTTCTGATAGATGTTGTTAAGAAGTTTTAAGGAATAACTTCTTGCGATATGGATATGGTTATGATGCAAGATGGTAACAAGTCTATATATTGAAGTACTATTCATTTTGTTATTTAACTTGATTTTTTTAGCTCCATGAGGTTTCTGCAGCCATGGAAACAAACTTGACAAACCAACCAACTGAGGTCCTTGGAGACGTTCTTTGAGTTCTCCCAAAATAAATAAAAATGAAAAATAAAAAATCAAAGCATTGCGAAAAAATGTTTGATATTCAGATGTGTATATCTAATTATTTAGTCAGTGAAATTCCTTCTTTTTGTTTAGTTTACTAATTCTTTATACGCACTTAAGTATGAATCAATAAAAATAAATAAGAAAAATACTACATAAACAAATAAGATAATGAATAAAAATCTTATTAACTAATGTAACAAATAATAAATGACATTACTTGAGAGGTTTACTTACCATATAAGTTATTTTATAAAATCATGATTAAATGTTATTGGTGACTGCCATGGCAAGTGATTATCAACGGTGTTGCATGACTTGTTTGTTTTTCTTTTTGAATAGCTCAATAAATATAAATAAATAATTTATTAACTATGGTTTTTGCATACTAATGAGATAACTAGCATTTATTCAATCTTCTATTTTTTTTAAATAATAAAAAGTATTCTTACCATGTCACGTCAATCATGAACTAACTTTAATTTGCAACTTCCTTTCTCTTCAATAAGTAATTTTCCCTAACTTTTTACCTTATTTATCTTGATCGAGATGGGATATAATATTTGATTGATTTGTTATTTTTTATATTCATAATTTAGATAAAAATCTGAGGAGCAAATCATGTTGGAAGGAACTTTCAAATAATTTAGTGTCATTCTTCTACTTTCCATGAAATAATTTGATTTTAATTCTTATCATTGGAATGGAAATTCCGCCCGTCTATTTTATCTCTTTTATATCACAAATGCAGAAACCTTGGTATAGTAAAATCTTACGATAAAGGTCACCTTCCATATCAGTTGAAGTTAGCTTTTCTAATCTATATATGAGTATCATATTGTAATATAAAAACACCATGTTTTTATTATAAAATAACTTGATTAAAAAACAATAAATTGTAAATGATACATAATCAAACTCTAGTCTACAAATAAACTTTTGAGTAGTTTAAGGGATCTTAATTTTTTTTTTTCGTTTTTTTGGTATTGTATCTTCATGAAAAAAAAATGCAACATACATATTAAATGAAAGTTTTACATCAACTAAAAAAAATCAATAACAAATATATTCAAAAAAATCCTATATCTAAATGTTTTAGGTAAAAACTTCTTTATTTTAATCTTTCTATCATGTTCATATTATAAATGGGTTATATTTTTGTAGGTTATGAGTAATAGGGTTAATGGTTCGGAGGGTTCCTTTATTGTTTTTTTTTTTTAATCGTATTTCTTTACTAAATTTTTTTATTAATGCCATCCTTCACTATTTGTTTTGCATCTTAATTTCATCTCTCTATTTAAATTTTCAAATAATACCATGAAATCTCGACAAAAATGGCACAAGATGTTGACATTTGTTAAAAAAAAATTTCTATTTGATTTTCAAAATGAAGTATATAAAATTTCTAAAATGAAAAATAAAAAACCTAAAAGGCCCCATACCCATATGTAAAAGCCCCAAAATCCCCAAATTAATTTCGATTCTCCCGTAACCTAACACTACTACTCGATCGCGATGATGTTGCCGCCTTTCCAAAACTACAACCTCCTCCTCAAATTCCCTAACTCTCTCTCCATTAAAAAAAAAAAATTAACAAATGTCAACATCTTTTGCCCTACCGTTTTTTTTTAATCATATTTCTTTACTATATTTTTTCATTAATGTCATCCCTCAATATTTGTTTTGCATCTTAATTTCATCCCTCCATCTAAATTTTCAAATAACGACGTGAAATCTCGACTAAAGACGCACAAGATGTTGACATTTGTTATAAAAAAAAATTTCGTTTGATTTTCAAAATGAAGTAAATAAAATTTCTAAAATGAAAAATAAAAAACCCAAAAGGCCCCATACCCCTATGTAAAAAACCCCAAAATCCCCAAATTAATTTCGATTCTTTTGTAACCTAACACTACTACTCTAACCATGATGGTGTTGCTCGCCTTTCCAAAAACTACAAACTCCTCCTCAAATCCCCTAACTCTTTCTCAATTAAAAAAAAAAAAAAATCTCTTTACCCTCGCTAACATTGTCATTAGCTTCATTTCTC